CCTTCATGGATGTGTTTCTCAGGATCGCAGAACCGTTCATGGCGACAAAGCGATGTATTGTTTGCATGCTACGTTTGGTTTATGCCAACAAGTGCACACCATTCTTTGGTGGTGCCTCGAAACGACGCTACAGGAAGTTTGCTAACTCGTCCTCTGTCAGGAGAACCCATGTAGCACCTACGCTACGCTTGCAGACAACCACATATATAAGCGATTGTGTTAAACCGTCCGCTTTCGCCTTACAGTGGTATCCTATTGCGTTCCCACTCGTGCATCGCTCGGAACCTAAGTGTAATCGCATCCGTGGATATTCAAGGCTAGTAGGACCTAGGACTTTGAGGGAATAACCGCACCGCTGTGTACCACCTGGCAACATGGAACTACAAACCTATGGGTATCGCTAAGTGGAAGTGCTGAGTGTTTTCATAACCACGGCGCTCTACCTAAGGTTGTTTAAGAAAGTCGTTGGATTTTCACTATTGCGAGTAGAGAGACCGTTTTTCCACCCCAAAACACTAGTGAACGCTTACCAAAACATAGACGGTGGGGAGCGTTTCAATTTGTAGGTTGTGAGAGCCTGCACATAAGTAGACGAACACTTTTCCGTATTCTCCAAATAAACAGAAAGCAGCCGAATAGTCCATGGATTCGGGCTTAAATCGCAAATTCCATCTAAGCCCCGTCGTGAAGCTTTTATTTGGGTGGGACAGATGAGAGTTCAGTAACAAGCACAGTGTGTGGTCCCAATCGGATGAGACCAGAAATAATGCGTTCAAATACCTATTTTCAGCGAACGGATTTACCAGTACATGCACTGAAGAATTTGCCAAAAAGCGTAAGTAGACTAGAGGGGATTACACGACACGACAAACCACGATAGTGCTTTACTTGGTCAAAACATACATACAGCAAAATGTGGCGTATGCCTTCATGTTGTGTTGTCAGTTGGGATTTTTTCTGCACCATATAACAAAAACAGAAAACAATCTATCAAAAACGTGATGGTCCATAGACAGCAATTTCGGTCTAACAGTGAGTGTCAGTCATCGTGCGTCTCATGTCGAGTTCACCAATTGCTCTATTATGCCCATGCACCAGCTCGCGGGTACTCTCAACTCACATGTAGGACAGTTTCCACAATCCATTTCAAAGATGGTCTTTACGAAGGAACGTAAAGTACCAAGCATGAAGCGTGGCTCATATAAACGTTTGAACATGCTGGAAAGCCTCGAATCGCCAGAAAGCACGAATAAGAAGAGTCTCTGAGGTGTAGATCCAAGCGCCGTGCGCTCGACGCGGGTTCAATTGACATGTGCCCACGCTCAGAGATGACCAGGGAAAGTTGAAGGACTGGGTGAGCTTCACAAGCTTCATGACTATCCATGGTGGCTTGTCGAATAAAAACATTGACTCAAGCAGTCATGCCCCACGAGCTTCACGTTCTTTGCACAGCTTATTCGGTCTCCCATGGAATCAGTGAATTGTTGACATGCTCTAGCTGAGGCGAGCATGCGATATCCTGATGTTCTTCATCAGACGCTCATGGAGACCTCATGTAGTCTGGATGCTTGGATGAAGTTAATGCACAGTAGGCAGCGATAGAGGGCACATCAGGGTCTGTGGCTTTGATTTGGTAAGATCGTTGAAGAAGATAGTCAAGTTTCCCTCGTTGCCTCTTAATCGCAGTAGTGCTACGTCTCGGGAGACATACTTGGGACTTTAGGTACGCCTTGGATTTCCGCATGAATTCATCCAGCGATGTGGCAGCCTTATCTAGTGTAATGCGAATCTCCATCTCCATCACAACCTACAACCCCACCTAGATGGATGGCAGAGCGCATCGTTACACAATGGGACCCACCGGATGTTGGCCGAATCCCACTAAGGCAACAAACCGCTTTCTATTAGCATATGAATGGGAGAAATCAATCACTCTACCCTTCGGCGGTTATACTGTGGAGGCATTAGAACCTAGATTGCTGCGACTGACGTCAGAGTTAGGTGTTTCGAAATTGACGGACTTAGTTTGAAAATTGAAAACCACTCAAATTACTAAGGTAAGGTGACCCGCTCAACCTCAGTTGTCTAGGGATTTGAGTCCAGGAGATGATTGACGTAACCCAGGTAATCGCGAAATAGTAACCTAGAGCGGAGGAAGCCCCGCTCCAAACCGGCGGGCGCCACGAGGAAGTGCTTAAGCCACTTAGCTGTTGATTCACCTGAAGAGCACATAACAGACTTAATGTACAAAAGTGCCAGGGTTGCTCCCGTCTCCTCGCAATTCCTCACGGTCGGAAGTGACTAGTCATCCAGTTGAGACCTTCGGATAAATGTACGAGCCATGCAGCCGATTTATGGGCATATCTAGTTGAACGAATTTTCACGAAACCGTGCAGTGGACACCGAACCAAGAGCCACTAGGCACCTGTTGTGCCGTTGTAGGAACAATGAGCGCAGCTGAGACTCCGCCCCATGTGGCCTGGATAGCTCGTCACGTTTGAGTCGTGAGTACAGAGCATTAATTAAAGCTGCTTCTTCTAGCCCGCTGTTATCCGACTCCTTAAGGACTCCCCACGCCATCGCCGCGCGCGAAGTGTCGGGCGCTAAGCAAAGCTAGTCTCTTTCGCCCATCACAGTGAGCACTGTGAGTGAATTCGCGAATGTTAATAGTTCACTAGTTCAATAGTGTATGATGGGATAAAAAGCATAACTTCAAAAGACCCACAGGATGGAAAATGCCCAAGAAAATTAGGATCAAATATGTTCCAAGGTGGAACGTGAATCATCAGTAGCAAAGACATCACAGTTTATCACACTGTTATGTAGCGTTTAAACTAAGATAAAAGTCGGAAGTCTCTGGAATGTCGCGATGTCTGGTGCGTTCACCACATGTGTTGGCGGTACGTTCTAGTGGGAACCGACTCTAAGAAAGTAACAGTACTTCCTACAATCCAAACGCGAGTGTTGCGTCACTAGTTTCAGGTGATGGCCCCGACATTGTCTCTAAGTGGCTAGGGCCAGTAGTGATGTACATGGGTGCTCGCTTGCAGTTAGTATTCTGTAAGTGAGGATGAGATCCCCGCGAAGCCGACGGTATTCTGAAGGGAAGACACCAAACAAACGAAGGCGCAGTTCGTAACTGAGACCGGATAGTTCACGTGTTGCGTCGGTATCTTCTGTTTGGGGTTGTTCCAAGAGACGAATATCTCGTTTTAACCATGGGAGGCAGGCCTGAACCGCATAATCAACATAGGCACGAAGATATGCGTTGATCAACATTAGTACTAGCCGTCGCTCAAAGGTGTCGAGAGCTCACCTCGCCTCAAGTTCAAGTTCGCCACATTCGCTGCTTTGGAGCATTGGAGCGAATTGCCAAGATTTACTTGAACGATGATACCTAAGTCTGGTTCACTAGTCACCTTTTACAAAAGGTGTTGTCCTAGAGGAAATGTGTTGATGAAGCTGTTACGCACCGTCAGCAGGTGGCACTTTGCAGGGTTCAGTGGGAGCTGGTTCTTTTCTGCCCATGCATTAATCTGATCCAGATCGTTCTGGAGATATGCACAGTCGCATGCAGAGCGAATTGCTCTCCATAGTTTAGCATTATCCGCAAATATATGCATGGGGATAAAATGTTTTCTGGGAGGTCATTTATATAAACTAAAAACCGTAGCGGGCTGAGGACGGATCCTTGCTCTACATCACTGGATACGCACAGGCTTTCGGATTAAGTGCTGGCTGTTCTTACCTTGATGGTTCTGTCTTCCAGGTAATCTTCCGACCAGGTGAACAAGGAACCGTTGATACCGTAAGCAGCAAGCTTTTTGGAGGAGAACGAAGTGATTGACCCTGTCGAATGCCTTAGAAAAATATGTAAACAACATCTATGGGAACTCCTTCATCAGGTGCTCTGGTCCATGAATCCCGGGTAAGGAGCAGTTTGGTAAGGCGACAGCCTGCGTCTGAAACCATGTTAGACATTGGAAATTATTTGCGGACTTTCAAAATTTTGCGTCAGTTTATCTGCAATTCAGATACGGTGGTGAATGTGTGAGGGCTATGTTCTAATTTAACAACGGTCATTGTTTGATGACTGCTGGCAGACGATAAGTTGAATGTAGCTTTTGCAATCGGACTATCCGCTAAGTATGATGAGCCGATAGAGTGTAACGAGCAACAAAGTTATTAGCCATATGCTTTCCTTTCTGAGCTCCAAAAAACGAAATTAACCTTCCCAATCCATTATTTGTGATCCGGTGCACGCGATCCCAAGACACTCGCAACTCCCCTATGCATCAACGACTTGCACACAAACGAGGTATCATCGACTTTTTAAGGTGGATCCAGGGTTCTTGGACTGTTCTCACAAGGCTGGGACTCCGCTTAGCATTTGAAGTAATGACTACGCTTCCTCAGTTGTTCTATAGTGGGGACACTGGCCATAACAATGGAAAAGCGATGTGTTTAGCAACCATGAAGTAGTCGACGAAATACCGTTTCGGCCAACCAGTAAACAAGATGCGTGTGCTTCGTCAGACTGAGATTTTTGACCCTCACTACACCGACTTCTCCCGGTCCCCAGTGTCCTTAGGCGAATTACCTTAACTGCACGAATCTATTCCGGCGATTCCCATCCACGTAACCGTTTTTCGCTTTCTCTGCACGAGTAACCTAAACAGCGCCCGATCACTGTAAAGAAAGTAACCACCGTTTTCCATTGCTTGCTCCGTGTGTAGTTGCACATGCGCAAGCGTAAACTGTATGTGTGTATGTGTGTGTGGGCACAGTGCTTAGCCGTCTCATCTCTTCTACTCCGGTGAGCATGTGAAACTGTGCAGTGTGTTTCTCTTAGCTTTTTGGCCTGTCCAACTCGCCGATGCTTGCCTGCTCGTTCGCTTGCGCGGATTGCTTCTCATTTCGTCACTTCATCAGAGAGAAAAGCACTCATAACCTGCAATCATCCACACTTTTCTGTTACCATCTATCCGCCTCACTTTTAGGTCAATTACGCAACCACTCGAGTGTTGACAAAACGGCGAAGCGAATCCTATACACCACACATAAGTGAGTTGAAAGATTCTTTACCACGTTTGTTAGCGTTCTTCGTAATGAAACACCCATCACTGGCTATCTGCCACCGGCAGCGGGAACTTACACGGAAGATGAAAAGGTCGGTAGGACAATCGGTATAGTGAGCAACTATTTCTATCCAAGTGCAACATCATGTCGCTTTTTAGGATAGCCCATTTGAACTCCATGAAGCTTCGAACTGCATGTGTGCAGTGAGATGAGGAAAATCAATTACTGCTTCATATTCACATTGAACCTTGTTTAAAAAGATTAACCCATTATACCTTTCATAGGCAACTTACTCAACGGCACAAATAAGACAATCTATGGTGAATTCAAGCTAATCCGTCAACTGAATGGTGCGTAAGCAGTTGAATGACAGTTCTGGGGGCATATTGCGCTACTCGGTAAAGCATTATTCATGGAACCGCACTTGGTTACAAAGGTTGACCAGGCAACAATAATGCAAGGAAGCCCTCCGAAAATAAGCGAAAGAGTTGATGGTACTACTATATGTTCGTCTACTAGATGTGACCCAATGGATCGACTACCATACAAGTACCCTGAAGCAGGTTGCGATAACGCATGCACTCTTTAGCTACTGACCGTTAGTTAGGTGAACTAAGTGTTCCGTTCGAATTTGACCACTTTGGCACGGTTTTCCCATATGTTGATTTGTTTCAAGGTGACGTAAAAATCAAGGACTCAGTCCACCCTCCTTCGGCACTCAGATCGTGGCCGAAGAGATGACCAAAACTACCATAGCTTAGTTTAAAAGCGTTTTGGATTACTGTGACAACTTTGTAGTGTAACGTTTTTAATAATGACACCATTCTTCCATACTTCAATGGAATGCTAGCACTGAGGGAGAAAATCACCCGTCGTTCCTCGTTTTCCTAAACGAAAGGGAAGACAATATGTTGTAAATCCATTTATCCCCGTTATTCATCTTTTTGCCTCACGGGTGTTGCGTCATTCGAATAAATGCGCCAATCTACATGATCATTACTAAAGCGTGAACAATATGCTTCGTATAATATCTAGGTTGTAAGGCATCAGCAGTACGCCGGTATGCAGTGCCGACGCTTCGCTACCGTGCAACCATCACCGGTCGTACGTAGGCCAAGGATACTGCGATGGTCGCCCGGACCCCACGCAGGCTCGAACCCACGCCCTCAGCCTACAAGCAAAGATCGTTACCTTTAGGCGATGCACCAGCATGTTGACTGTAAACACTCAGACATAAGCACCCTGTTCAGTTTTTATGGGATAGGATGAGCAGTCCTTCCATGCGTCCAACGCTACCAGCCAAATGATAGCTCACACGTTTACCCCCCCCCCCGGTAATTCTGTGGATCGTCCAAGGTTTTGTCAGTGACGCAGTTCAGCAAAAGCTGCATAACACGGCTTATCCAACAGAGCCACCTAACACTAACTCGGACCCTTGCTACTATTTTTGTACTTCTGGTCAATTCTTTACCGTGTCATGGCATAGTATAGCCATTGATCTTACGTATTCATAGTAGCATGTAAAGTTTCGTTTGACTTTATAAACGTTAAGTTCTCAGCTCGAATCCCAGGCCCACAAAGTGCAACTATGCCGTTTATCACCGATCAGCCATGCTCAGTAGGATGTAGACCTTTTTAGCGCTGCATCACAGCTCATCGTACAATCTCATCTCTTGAGCGGGGTTTTGCGTCCGTCATTCAGCATTTTAGATATATAAGTCGATAACGGAACGTGCAGTATGCAGTTAAGGCATGCGGAGTTGAATGAGTTGCCAAGAAAAGTTTCTTCCGTTCAGGTATGACAAACTCACTTTTCCGCAGCTAAGCCTTTGTTTCCTCTGAAAGGTGCAGTGGGTCGAGACAGTAACATTCCTCCGATCAACTGGATATTTCGATACATCTGCTGCAGTTCAGTTTATAGAGTGAGCCTGTCGGACTTTAACCCTTGTCAGCACTCATTAAGACGGAATACTGGGAGGACACCCGCTACCCCATGGAAACCCACTTGCTCATCGCGCGGCACATTGAAGTGGCGTAGATTCACCGAGCAGTTGACGATCCATACAGCTAATCCCACCACCAACTTCAATGTCCCCAGTTTCATGCATGATATTTGAGGCATGTGCAAAACTCAGCGTGCGTCTGAAAATTGTCAACGAACGAACAGCTATGCAACATCACAGCAACGCTCTCTAAGGCTAGCTGTACATTCACAAACAGAAAATCTTCGTAATGGGGCACCCTGACGGGAGTTTAATATTTATTTGTTTCATCGCAATTAGATAAAAGTCACAAAGGTCAATTACCAATCCGGCAAATTATCTGTTTTCACTGTAGGTACCTGCATTTACGCCAGACACGTATCGGTTAACACACATATAAGCTTATATGCTCATCACCCGTAAGATTTCTTTCGGTTTCCACACATAATATATTTTGGTGTTCCAGGTTCCACCTATCTCCCACACACATCAACCAGTGTGCAAAATCAAATTTACCAGCAGCTCAGCAGTCAGGCAAGTAAACGGTTCCGAGGGGCTGGTACTACATCGTCCTTGGCGGCGGCAGCAGCGGCCATATCCAATGCCCGCTTACTAGGTAACGCTGGTTCGACCCAGCCCACAGCTATGCTTGTTCGGAGCAATAACAACACAACGGCGAGTGCGCTGAGCACATTACTCACAGCCGCGTCCGCGCAGTCGCAACAACAGCAGCACGCAAGCTCGAATGTCATCCCGCCAGATGTACTACAGCAGCAGCAGCAGCAGCAGCAGTACCCTTCAGCACCTCTGCAGTCTCAGTTCCCTGTGCAACAAGCATCGGCTCTACTGGCTGCCGCTATGATGGACGGCGCTGGACAACTACCAATAAGTGCAAGCGCTCAACTGATGAGGCAATTGTTCAGTGGGACGTAAGTTCATACCTCTCCAGTAAACTACCACTCACGAGGCCACCCATAAGCTACTCACTGTGTTACTTTATCTGGTTGGAGGACCCGTTGTGTGGATAGGTTGTATTAAAGGGGTCTACCTACAAACGATGCATCTCGGGTTCGAGTCCCGCTTCGGTTATCTCCTTCTGTATAGTCGTGATAAGCGAGAAACCGGTTATGGTGCGCCGCACTTTTGGAGAGAAAACTTATTTACTCGTTATGTGCTTCATTGGTGGTATGCGGACTCCATTGCAACCTACAATGAAATAAACCTCAACCGTCTCAGTTACTAGGACTGTATGTGGGTGTGTGTGACGAGTGGACTGTCGCACAGCAGTGAAAGATGAGTCATGCCATATCTTAGCTAATAAGAAACTATGGCAGTCCACTGTGAATACCTACGGCACAGTGGCATAAGCCATTGACTCTTAAGGGGAAAGTCATAGGCGTTAGTCTAGCGAAAAGGTCGTAGTTGTGATGAATGTCATTAAAGTACTCCCGCTCGCTTGATTGTAAGTAAATTCCAGAGACAACGTTGTCATGTTTGTATCAGGCGTGTATCGCGCAAGGCACCCATCAGCATTGCATACGAGAGCGGAAATCAGCAGATCGGTAGAATCTTTCTGTGGCCATATAAGTTGAAAACACTGCTAAAACAGTACTTATGAAAATTCCATCCTGATTTTGTGCCAGGATTCGTTACGGTGCGGTCCCAAGTAGGAAGACCGACCTCTTGGTAACGTTAAACGGTTAGAACTGGACATAACTGCAGTCTGGTGCATAGATGACGAAAATAAGGATGAGATGTTTCAGTTTAGGCCCCATGTGGTGAGCTCACCAATAAGTGGTAGCTGTTTCGTTGGATTGATAAATTACAATAACCATGTGGCCTTTGTGGGACCGCTGATTGTCAGGTGGCAGCCGGTGTCGATTGTGAGGTTACAATTTGTGTTGTAGTTTATCGCGCTTATGTACATGAGTTTTCGGAGGACGGGGATTAAACTGCTCGTTAGGTAATTACAGCAGGAGGAGTAAGGGCCAATAGCAGCATGGATGGACAATTTTCAAAAACCACGGGAACTAGTGTTGCCTGGTTCGAAATCGCGAGGTCCAGACGGTGAAATCGTTAAGTGAAACATTTCATATTGACCTCACTCTGCTATCAGTTCGCCATATTAAGTCAGACCGCAGCATTTAAATCCGGGAAATTGCCATTTAGCTGGAACATCGCTCTTATTTTAGATACTGCGAATTCAGTAGCCACTACTGAGCCTTTTTACATTTTTCCAGCTAGGCTAGCCACAAGATCATTAATGCTGCCCTTCGCCGCTTATTGAGTATGAATTTTGAGATACTGCGCAAAGTTAGCAGTGGGCTTACTGTAACTTAAAGAAGCTTCGTCCGGTTCAATAAACTGGGCTCCGTACCGTCAATAGAATGCAGCTCCGAGACCATTTGGTTGAGTGACAAATGTACTCCTAATGCCATCTTTTCCAGTTGTGCAATATTGTGCTTTTGATGACGTTTTAAAAATCTGCCCTGGATATTGTTAAATGCTAAAAATATACCCACTCGTGTACCTAAAGCTTCTATTGTCTGCTTGGCATATTATCCGCTGATGGGTAGATAGATACACTGCCATCAGTCCGGCTTTTGCAGACGTCAGAATCACCGGGTCGGCATTTCAGCGGCACCGATTGTAGGTAAATGTCAGTTAGGTTGCATTTGTTCGACTTCTGCAGAGTAGCAGGCGGTGAAATAACGTGGCACATGGTCAGAAAGGCCAAACTGGAATTACGATCCTTTTTTGTTACAACAATATAAACCAAAAGCTGGTCGTGTCAGATAAGACTCAGTTTCAGATCCACCTCGATAATAACACTTTGACTAGGATCAATTTCAGGGGGGGGGCATGTTTTGACGATTGGTGGCCGCAGGTTAACCGATATTTTCCTGCAAACTACAAAACCCAATTCCCTATTTTACCTTCAGGTCCTACATCTCAGATGCACTTTCTCTGGGGACCAGTTTACAGACAAATTCGTTGGGTGCCAACTACGCCAGCGGGCTGCAAATGTTAAACAACCTCGCTTTACAACAACAACAACAACAGCAGCAGCAGCTGCTCAGCTCAGATGTCCTGCTGAGCAATCCGCTCAAGTCATTACAACTACTGAATCCACAACTACTGCTCGCACCCTCACCACTACAGCAGCCCACCACATCTTTGGCGGTAAGTGCCTCACGCTGTATCTGACACTTCGTTCTCTACGTGATGCATCGGCTCAGTGCCACTCCTCGACCTTCACTCAACTTGGATTTTAACTAGTCAACTCGTTCCGTGTGATGATTCATGCGTTTCGTGTCTTTTCATCTAACACAAACATGAAACTAACTAAGGTCGTAGGGGATCGATTGACGGTCAACCGGTGGCCACGGTAGATTCAAGGTTACAGTCAACTGTTTCTGTGCAGAATGCATGTGCCGTTCTGGACCTACCGTAGTAGCGCGGAGCGTCCCGACTGGTCAACAGCTGGCCCTCAATGACTCTTATTTGCCTCTTTTTGTAATATCTTTGGTTTCATAATTGTGATGAATGAGAATGCACGAAAAGATAGAGTCGTCTCACAGCTTACATCTTTTAATTCTTCCATGTGGAAATAGAACCGAAATCAGTTATTTCAATCGGTATTGCCGGGTAATGGGCATACGGTTCTTGTGATCTAACGATGATCCATGACTTTCGGCGTCGAAACGGCTTCGTTGCGGATTCACTGTTTGGTAGTCGAACCAGACCTACCTCACCGATACCGGAAAATCGAGCACGCGTTAAACACGCAGGCCCGCTAACAGATGGCAGACGCGCCAATGCAATCGGCTGCGAGCCTAAAGTTATAGAGGCGAGAGGGACGAAGAATCTTGGGAACAAAATAAGCCGGGTAAAATTCATGTAAGGAGGCAAGTGCAAGACTGTCCAAAACTGATGTGACTAAATGGAATTCACCTGGGCCACATCTTTTGGAGCAATGGGATCGAAATCAGGTGAATCCCGTTCCTTAAGTCGGGAAGCGGAAAACATCCCCTCAGTAGACACCGGTCGTACCAGCTCAAGGCTAAGATCCTGTAGCGAGCCACGATCACGGGTGTCACATACGGGAGGTTAAGATAGCATATCTGGTTAGAGACTAGGAAAAGTTGAAATTCGTTCATTATCCAGTATATGAGCGACATACCATTTTCTAGCCAGAACAATGGCGGCAGTATTGCGTTGATGAAACTTATACAAAAGTTGAATAATGACCAAACTGTAGGCATTGATGCTGCTGATGGTTTAACGCAGACAAAGGAGCAGAACTCGGCTTTATAGGTCACTAAACGTGCGGAAAGTACAAGTCGAGTCTGATAGACTGCCGGATACAGGCCCCGGAAACCACTCTAATAGATCCAGCAAAGAGAAAGCCCATGCATCTAGCGAAATCGGGAATGAAAATACCAATTTTTCGCATCCATAAATGTGCTTTGCAAATTAATCGGATCCTCCATTGCAGCAGTGGAAAGAGCAGCATCAACGGTCGACAGTAAAAGCTCGCAAGAAGAACCGTTAGGAGCGTCATTGGATCTTCTATTTTTAGGCCGGGAAATTAGCTCATCCGCGGTCGCTGCGTCTGGACCTCGGGATTTTGGCGAAAGCTCAAACTGTTCTTGTAGTTTAGTATTAGTTAGGCCAAAAAGATGTGGATCAAACAGGAGGGCTGGAAGACGTGGACAGTTACCCGCGAACTCCACATGCGGCTGATAGAAGCAGTGCTGAACAGGGTTGGAATATTACCTAGCGACAATCGCGATGCACTGCTTGGCGGTGGAATAATGTTCAACATAGGCGATTTGATCGGTTATCCTTAGTTCTATGTCTTCGGGAATGAAGGGATTGTCAAGTAATTACTAGCCCTGCAACGACGCTTTGCGTATTGAAGGTGTAATGCGCATTTCAAGGTGTGGGACAACTCAAGAGATTATATCGGGAATTGACTGACTGATTGGCAAATAGCAAGATGATCTCTTCCGCGTAATCCAGATCAAACAATATTTCGCCAGGCAGCGCTTCAAAACATACACAGTGAGATCCCCAAACGCAACATTCCATGATGTGGTCCAGAATGAAGTTGAACAATGCGATACAAACGCTGTTTAGTTCGGACATTGTTCCATTGAGCTCCGGACACACCAGAAGCATAGAAACACCTACTGTTCGAAGCGCTGCAATCCAAAGGCCATCCGATGCTATTCATAAAGCGCTTCAGTGACATGACGAAATGAGATCGAACGAAAACAGTTCCAATGAACTACCGTTCAAAGGCGATCACATCACAGAAATTGTTTTTGGCGATCCAATTGCAAAAGTTGCTCTGATTGACCACACGGCCCATGTCCCGAACTGTCGAGATGTTAACCATTCCGTTATTTGTTTACTTATGGCTCTATTTTTCTGTTTGATCCGTAGCGTTAAATTTTTTTTCATTTGTTCCCTGGAGTGACAACACAGGAACAGAGAACAAGTCTCATTGCTCCAGGATATCAATTTCTGCATTTTTCGAACGCATGCAACGGATGGATGAACCTGAAAATTCTTTTCATAACTTTTGCATATCGATGGTTTGAGCAGTCATCTGTATTCGACACGTCCGTCGTACAAGTTAATCGAGAAAAGCACTCTGCCTTTCTCGCGCTGTAATAAAATATGCGATTTATTTATTAGTTATCATTACTGTTACTACTCTTCTCCCTCTTTATTTTATATTCTTCTATACTTCATTGTTCCCAACTTCTGGGTCGATCCATTGAGGATTGAAGCTTTCAAAACTAGTAGTTAGACCCATCCATTGCCATTGGCTGCCTGACGAGATAAAGCTTGACTAAAAGTAACCGATTGCTGGTAGGGGCTAGATGCTTTGAGTCTCCACACTATGTACACAAACAGACCTAAAGATGAGTTAAATAGGTGATGGCTTACCTGATTAAGCCATATCGGCACACGGCTAGATAGGGTGTGGAAGTGCGGGCAAAAATCTTTGAGGGAATAACTCGCATGGAAGCAGGTCCCCAAGTGACAGTTCTACAGATAGCCGTATTACTTCACTTGCACTTCTGGAGTTATCTACATTTATTATTTCTGACTACCTCTCCATCTTCCTGAAAGACTCACCCGATCCACTCGCCCCACTTCTCCAAAATAGTTTGAGAACTGCTCTGGAGAGCTCTAAAGGATATTCTGTTCCATGCAGTTCCGCTGCATATAATGATCAAACCTTTCCGTTGGATTGTGCCTTGCACTGTCAAGTAACATACCGTTCATGTATTTACTTAATGAGCACTTCATTGTAAAATGAATACAAAGCGACGGAATTAAGGTTGCTGCGGTCGAGGGAACCACTGCTCATGCGTCCAGGGAATACACTGACTTGGAAGCGGTGTACGCCCAAATGTTTATACATAATCCCATAGCTATGAAAGTAACTACCTTTGGCACATTGATCGAAGCTTGGGTATCAGAATTGATAGAAAAATTCCAACATGTTTACACAAGCAATCCCTGACGGTCGAGCCAGATGAATCAAAAATCAGTACTACGTCAGGAATCGCGAGAAGTTTACGGTATACCAAGTCAACCCCGGCGCATCATTCCCAGTCCCCATGAGCAATCAAAGGCCTCACATTCTCAAACTCAATGAGGTTGTCGGTATCATTCGCAACCGCCCGCGTCTTTTCACAAAAGCAGCTGATAATGACATGAATATATTCCGGTAGTGTACAGCACACCAACCGGTCGCCAACTGACCTCAGGTGACCTCTTCGTCTTGTACCTGTCATTAGTTGCATGTATGTGAACGGTGAGAACGCAAGAAGCGACAGTGTCACGTCACAATTTGCACCTGCTTTCTATAAGTCGAATTATAAACGGAGCTTCTTGATTCAAATTGGGGAAATTGGATGGCTCTAGTGAGCTCTCCATGTTGTCGGAAAGGTATTTGACCACGAACTGGCCGATAATTTTGGAGTATAAGGCAAATAAAACGTCAACATATTTCGCTGGAACTCCCTTTCGGTTAACTGTATCGTAGAGGACGGATCGGCTAGCTGAGTCGAACGCACTCCACTTTGAGGAATACTATAGATGGCTCGCGTTACGCGTGACGCTGACCCGTCATCTACTGCATAGTGAAAACCGTCTACACCGCCCCGCTCCGGACCGTAATTGACCTGCTTTTTCCCTATCCGGGGTTCCCATTTAGCGGAGACGTGCCAGAAGAGAATGGGGGACTGCAATTTCGTTAACCATGGAATCAGACCATGTTGTGGTCTAACTGCTAGAGAAATCCAGCCAATTCACAAAGGAAGATCACAACAAGCGCCACACGCAGTAAATTTTAGTCACAAGCCAGTCGTCTGAGTGCTAGATGACCATCATGGTATCACCCGCATTAACCTTTTGGTGTGCGACCTCCTTGAGTCAGCTTGGAACGGAAGCACATGCTTTTGTGCACAGTTTGATCCGTGTATTGGCTGTAAAGTGACATCACTCGTTGACACTAGATGTGCAGTCATTTGGAGCTCGTCTGGCTTTTCCAGTCCGAACGTGTCCAGTAGGAGATCAACGCTAAGCGAACCATAATCATCGTCTTGCGAACGACAAACCCTCATTTTTGTGCGGCGACAACCGACTGCTGTCTCAAAGTTAGTCGGATTACATCATGTGTCGGATGTAAGTCTGGCCATCAAGGCGTCAGTGTGAGAGGGGGAGTTCGGAGATTACGGGTTTGCGGTAATTCTGTGGTTCACAAAAATTGTACCCAAGAGTTTCTATTCTGCTCCATCCACCCCCGGAATTCCGTGGGGCTCACTTGAATGTGTCGGTAAATTTCACTGGTTCGCTTGACACCTTCAAGATCTGGGCGGGCGTTGGTGAACACATCTGGTAGCAGAAAGGACTCCGGGTTTTAACCTATTGGTATTTTGCTAGTCATATGAATCAGTTTCGGATTTAATTCTAGGCCTGCCTTCGTACTGACTTACAATGCGAAACCTTGTAATACCAGGCCTCTGTGATCAGCATCAAAAATATACAAACCATCGAAGAAGTTTGGAATCGAACGTGCGCTTACTCCGTGGTCAGTTAGGAGCGTAATTCGGATGACTGAGGATCACGTGAGAAGCCATGACAATGGTAATTGTTCGAGCCGGAAAGTACAACATGTAGTGTCGGGATAACTCCAACTATATCGGTCCAAAGCGTGGAAGGGAATCAACCGAATCGTGGCACTTTAGACAAAAATGACCACGAACCTGCACATTTGTGTATTTCTCCTACTGGTACGAAGCGAGTGCAACCATACTACAGAATCATGTAGAGGCTTGCCGCGTTAGCCGTTCTTCAAATTAAACACCGCCACAAAGATGCCTCAATTATTTTGTTTTGTATGTTTCATTTGAGTATACTGACTCAAATACATTCTACCGTCTGCTGTTCCCCTTTCACAGAGTAATACCACAGGTTCTATTGGGCGTCCAGCGATCCCTCCTGGGATTTCGTTCCCCTACACCGGGACCGCTCCAAATTTGGCCATACCGAACTCGACGTTGGGTCAACTTGGCGTGCCGGACTTGGGTCCGTTTGATACTCGTCTCTGGCTGTCTAGTCTCGGTGGCGAAAATGGTCTAAGTAATGCGATGGCAAACTCGCTGTTGCAACTATATCAAAGTCAGCAGCAGCAGCAGCAGCAACAACAACAACAGCTTCAAATGCTCTCTCAATCAGCTTCCACTATGAAAGACACCATGTCTACCGTGTCAAAATATTCGGTGAACAATGCCTGCTCGCCAATCACGACAGCGCTGTATGCGTCTAGTCTTCCCAAACAGTTCTCGCATTCTACAACTCAACCATCCGACTCCAACATTGCGCTTAGTGGTCCAGAAGAAAGCATTGCGATGAATGCTGCCCTAACTTCCCAGTAAGTTCATGTGTGTTAGTATTACATCCGCCTTTTACTCCCTGGGTCCGAGCGATGTTGAATTTGGATCAACATGCAGCAGTTGTACCAGTTGGTGGTCATCTTAGCGTTTCTTAAACATGTCTCGTTTTGGCCCGTAGCTTTAAGGGTAATAAGCCTGCCTTGTACTCCGAGAGCGCGGGTTCGAGCCTGCGTAGAGACCGGGCGACCCACACCGTATCCGTAGCCCAGGTATGACTGGTGGTGCTTGCGCAGCAGTGAAGCGTCGACAATGCGTACCGGCGCACTGCTGCTGCCTTTGCCTTTAATACTTGTCGCCGCTAGTCACTTCACACATTCGTGGAGTGGTCAGCTCAAAACAAACCAGCCAAGGACCGAGTTTATCCCAATTTGACGTTTCAAGATGAAGCCGGCTGTGAAGTACGGTATAGAAAGACAACGTAGCAATAGTGAGGGTTTGTTTTTGAGGAACCCAGTGTACCAATCACCCTTAAACCGATCCTAACTTCTCCATGTTTAGACAATGATACGCTGTGAGTTCATCCACTTCGAGTTGGCGTACAAGCCCTCATTGCTCATTAAAAAACCATGGCATGTGATGTTCAGAAGATGTCATACTTTAGTCCCGTCTCATTATAACATGACATGACTAAGAATGTCCATAATTCCATCCCTGAACACATACTACGTAGTGAACACCAGATACAAAGCAAAGACGCTTTTGAGTGGGCTATATTTCACCTTAACGCGACCCAAAAGGACGCTGAAAGCGCCTATTAGCCACGGTTTGGTTGGCGGCATCCGGTTTCGGAGTTGCATGTCACTGTGGCCAGCCCCAGGACGCCTGCGCCTACAGAGGGACCATGGATGGCTTGCGCTGCACCACCCACAGCTCCATTCACACACCCCATATCCAGTGTAAACCCGAAGGAATAAGACCGGGAGGCATGCGGATGGGAGCCACGTTTCATCAACGGAGCCGGCCCACATTCCTTCACAGGTAAACAGAAGCACGCTGTATTTGGGAACTCAAGCGCACACAAGGCGGTGGCTGGACCGTAGTCCGCTCCACACTGAGTGCATGGAACCACTCTTCAAGCCTAGCACGGCCACAAGAACCGTGCACCCAGTCCCCTCCAGCAACGACCAACTGTCTCCTGGAGCCAGATGGACGAGGTAGTGGTAATAGATAGGTAGGCACCTTGTCAACATGCACATCAAGCGCAGCCACACCTGGGATGTCAAACAACAGCCAATCATTCGAAATGCCGATATCGAATAAAGTAAACGCATATGACGACATATATACTCGTTAAATGAGCATATTGAAGAAATTGGTTAAATGCGAATACGCGATAAGTACAAAATGTCCGAAATTTACTTAAAAAAATACCACGCGATAAAATTACGCAAGTTTACCACAATTCGCATGGGCGACGTGTGCAAGTTAGGAGAAGATTTTTAACTACGCAGAACAAAAAATAAATAAAATGTAATCAATTTTATCCACATTAAAAAGACCTAGTTTAAGTGTAAGTTGGTTTAGCCCAACTGCGGTGAAGAAGCATCATGAATGCGACATCAGCCTCAGCATGGGGCATAGCCACGGTATAAGCCACTGCAAACAAGCAACTGCAACGCGCACTTGTGCAAAGTATCATGTTGCCGCGGCCATCGTCTAGTCAGCTGACCCTAGGCACAATGGTCTAGGAGACTGGCTTGTATTTGTATCGGTTAATCCAGATGGCAGAATCCGAATCCCCCTCATCCTATCGGAAACTGTTTACCCGTCAAATCATTGTTCCAATGACTATGTATTCCATAACGGTACATGCCTGACAAGATTGATCGAAAACAAATTGCTTTGCCACTATACACTTTAATCCATTGTTGTTGTGGATGAGTGACATTTATGCTCTCGGGGGTAGTAGATCCTATCGTGCACGCAGCGGACACAAAGAAAAGGCAACTTGTTATGAAAGCTTTAAGTGTTAATGAGTTGGTGGCATAGAATCATAAGTGGAATTCCTGTACAATCACTCTCCGAGAGAGATCAAGTGAGTGGGCCCTATAGATTTAATGATCAAGCAAGCCACACTTGGGCGTGCAGTTAAATGACCGATATTTCCGATATTGCTTTTTTAGGCATTGGTGTTATTTTGGCTGATTTCCAAATATTAGGGGTGATACCAGTCGTTAAGCACGGATACAAGATCTCTGTCAAATGTGTGGTTAAAACATCTGCGCATTCTTTCAGAGTGACTGCTGATTAAGCATCCGGTCCACTAGCCTAGTTTGGCTTCAGTCTTGTAAGCCCTTTGTAAATAGTTGTGAAATCAAATAAAATGGGGGGGCAAAGTAGTGATGAAAGAAGGTGTAGGGCGAGTGCGTTAGGTGGCGAGGAGCTGAGCTCGGTGTTGTGTTTATCCAGATTCTCGATGATAAGTGTCTGGAAGGAATGCTTTCCAGAGAGTTGTTTCAGAAGCCTTCGCAGGTCACGACAAATGTGGTTGCCTAAAACGACCGTTTTATATCAGCTTTTATAGCCAAGGATAGAAGAATAACACGAGCAGTTAGCTTATGTTTATAAGCCTGTTCTTTTTTCCTCCGCAGTTGTTTGAGCAATGGTGATGAACATCTATCATCTCGCAAATAGATTGTCAAAATGGGACAACACATAACAAAACAGGTTTATGTACTCTGTGAAGTGTTCTCATTGAGCTGACAAGCCTTCATTGGTGAAAATTGAAACTTAGTTGAACAAAGTGTTGATTTGGGTTTTTCGATATTATCTACTGAGTTCCGTCAGCGTCACATCGTTGATCTTACCGTATAAGTTGGAGCATAGCTGTACTATGTAATAGTCGGAATTATCAAGAGGTGCGCACTTTTGGGTAGAAAACAGTACATGTTATCAAATGCTAAATCTAGATGTACCTCGAATGTGGTTGGAAATTTCATCAAATTGGCTAAGCCCATAGTGTTAGGCAAACTTATGTCACTCCCATTGAAGTTGCGGGCGAGAACACAGATGGAACATTCTAACTTTGGTAGCAACTCCAAGACATGGTGGTCTGCAAACTTTTGCAGTTGGAACACCGTTGTGTCCGGACCTACATGCATGTCCCAAACTACTAAAATTAGGAGAGCACTTAGAAACCTTGGTTTATACTTCCATAAGTGATATCTTGTTGAGGTTGTTGAGCACTCCGAGAGTTTGGAAATGGATTTATACCAATCTTTGTTAGTGTAAGTGATGACACCTCTGTCACGATGTTGGGCTCTCCTAGGCGAATGAATCTAAGGTGCCGGTAACCAGTGAGATTAAGGACTTTGTCCTCAACGGCAGAATGCAGCTAACTTGCTTGCAACATCACTATGTCTGCATTAATAAACCCCTTCCGCTGTAAAATGTTTGCGAGCTCACCAATATTCCCGAGAAGTGACCGTATATTTCCGGACAGAATCAGAGGGATTTGCGCCTTACTCACGGGACAGCGTTTGAGTCCTACTTGCTAGCCAGCACGATACTTCTCCTTTCTTAAATCTTTCTTGGTAATTCTTTTGCGTGTTTTTGATCTTGAAGCTGTACACAAATAGAGTCGCATTTTGCACATTGTCTCGAAGGTAAATCAAATCTTCAGCCGAGTATGACAATATTGGTGACTATGCAACTGATTCACGCAACCGAAGAGTAAACTAATTTCTGAAAATACAAAGAATCAGCAGAGAGAAGTGTAAAATAATATTTAATGTTAACAGCAAAGGCCGAATTTGAAGACTCCACGCCTTCATTTCATCTGCGATGATTGATCCCATAACTTTGGAAAGCACAGGAAGTAGCGTTATAGAACGGTAATTCGTAGGGTCGGCGCGACTTTCTGCAGTATGAATACGTGTGATGATCCCTCGCTTCCAGTTTACTGCGATTTAGTTCTCCTCTAGGCAGCGGTGATAAAAATAGCCAGAGGTTCCGCCAGATCACTGTCTGCTGTCTGTAGAGCCTTCGGCTGGATGTTAGCCACACCAGGTGAGGTATGGGTATACAGGGACAATCATCATCATCATTATACACTTTAGCTAGAGGTGGGAAACACCTCAGCTACTGTGCCACAATACATAAAAGAAAACAGAAAATAAATACAACAGTTGCATGCCAGCTGAGCTACCAGCAACGGATTGGTATTGTTCCGGAAAGCTACCAGCCGGCTACTAGGCAACAAGAAACATTATGATGTAAAATTATATTACGCTACGAAACGAGATCGTGGTCGGCGGGGGAGGCTAAAAGGGATGGGGAGGGACAAAGAAACTCACTGCACGAACGCCACTGAGGTCGGCTCCTAGTCATGTCGGCAAGTGTATCTAGCCAAACGTGTTCATCGTCTTTCGGACTCCAACCAGGGAGCCGAGACGCTCCAACTGAGGCCAGCTTCGAAGTGAGGGCCTTCATTCCTATCGACCAAGTCATCGTTTGGCCATCTCTCTTCTTCCATCCACACCCCCGGCGCGCAAACAACGCACGTCGCGGGAGTCGGTGGGCTGGCATGCGTAACACTTGGCCGAACCATCGGAGCCTGGTACGTGAAATAACGGTGCTGAGCGGTTCATTTCCTTTTCCTGTGCCATAAACAAGGCGTCGAACAAGCTCGTTGCTTACGCGGTATTCCCACCAGATGTGAGCCAAACTGCCAAGATACCGATGGTCGAACGTAACTAGCCTCTTTATGTCTGCTGATCTAAGGCGCCAGGTTTCGCAACCGTGCAGTAAGGTCGAACGTACCGCTGCATTGTACACTCTACCCTTAAGGGCGAGAGTGATCTTGCGCCGGTGCCATAGGTGGCGAAGGCTAGCAAAAGCACTTCGAGCTTTTGATATACGGTTCGTGATCTCATCTTCAATCCCAAGGGCGCTGATACAACTTCCCAGCTAGTTGAATTTCTGAACGACTTCTAACTGATCCCCACCAAGGGTCGGCGCAGGAGACGATCCCTGCCAA